CACGACCGCGCCCTTCTCCAATTCGCCACGGTCAAGATACTCCATGAAGGCGCAGGACCGCCGCTCGCCCGCCGCGAAAATCTCGGCGAGCGACGCGCCTGCTTCCCGCAGGCCCTCGGCGCGGCCCCCGCGCGGGTCGCGCAGCCGAAAGAGGCGCGCGCCCTAGACGCCCGCGGCGACGAGCATCGCGCGCAGGGACCGCAGCGCTGCGGCCACCGAACAGCTCGCGGGCCAGCCCGCCTCGCGCCCCCCAGGCCCCCAACGAGTGAAAAGGGCGCGTGGCACGACGCGCGGCGCGCCAGCAACTCCTCGACAGGCGACTGCCCTTGGCCCGGTTCCGCGCCGCTGACGCAGCCGCGCGAGACCGGCTTCGCCGAGCGCGAAAGCCGCGCGACTCGTCGGCGCGCCGCCGCGCGGCTGCAGCATTGCCCGCGCGCGTTCCGTCTTCCGCCAGCGGGCAACGCCGAACTGTGGAGGCGCGCGGCAGCCTCGGCGAACGCCGCCCGGGGCCCGCGCGACACAGCAGGGCCGACCGCCGCGACCGGGCGGCCGAGGACTGCACCGGCGCCTCGCAAAGCGAGACGCGCGAGCGCGCGAGCACCACCACCCGGAGGGGGCGCAGAGGGAGTCACTCACTTGTGTGGGCGCTCTCTTGGGGCATGGATCCCGTGCTGGTGAGCCCCCAGTCGCATTGGCTCTGAACCAGTGTTGGGAAGACCTGACACTGGCGAGGGGGAAGGACTAAGATGATGATGATGATGATGATGATGATGATGATGATGATGAGGAGGAGGAGGAGGAGGAGGAGGTGCAGCAGCAGCAGCAGCAGGGAGATAAGGTGGAGGAGGAGGGAGGATTGACTCGTATTCCCTCGTGCTGCCTCTATCACGCCTTTCAAGCAGCTGCCGTCACGCACGTCTCCTGGTTCGGTAAATCACCCAATTTCGGTATTCACCTCCTGGGCGATCGGCTGTTTGTGTTCATGGTGTACCTCCCCACTTTTGACTGCAGCCTCACACCGCTGCTTGGCCGCTCTCTAGGCGTCTCTCATTCTCCGGTCCTCGTCGCCCGCCCGTTTCGCTTGCGCGGTTGCCGCTGCTGAACGGCGCGACCCATTTGTTTTCGTTGTCTGACTCCGCCTCGTTGAACCGATTCCTGTCCCCATCCCGATCCCCACCATCCCACTACCCCAGTTGGGGATATGCCCCTCGAGGCCCAGAGGAGAAGGCTTATATCCACATCCAGAGGGCACGCCAGTGGATATAGGGATCGGTGAAACAGTGCTGGTTCGCAGACGCCACGGCCGTTCCGGCCCGAGCCTCGCAAGAGCCAGGGAGGGGGTACAGTGGGGGCCCATGCCAAGAAACACCCTGCTCGCCTCCAGGGTGCCCCAGGTTTCTTGGGTCCCGATGGCTTTGCTATGGAAGGCGTGACGCTCCCACGCCACAAGTCGATGGGCGTCCTGGGGTCTCAGGGTCGGGTTTCTTGTGGAAGGGCTCTTCAGGACGGGACTCGACGGCACGTGGCAGCCGCAGCAGCACGACGGGGGGCGGCAGCAGCAGCGGGAGGCTGCCCGCTGCCGGGGGCGCGGGGCGCGCCGAGGCGGAGCGGCAGCAGCCCCCCCCGCGCGGCACCGCCGAGACGGCGGCCGAGCCCCGGGGACCCCCCGCGGGCCTCCCTCCGCGCCCCACTCGGCGGCGGCCCCCCGGCGGCCTGGGCAGCGGCGCGGAGATCGTCGCCGCCGTCGTCGGCGGCGGTGTCGTCCTCGTCGTCGTCGCTGTCGTCAACGTCGTCGTCGCCGTCGCCGCCGCCGCCGCCGCCGGCGTCGTCGTAGTCGTCGCTGTCGTCGTCGCTATCGTCGTCGGCGTCGGCGTCGTCGCTGCCGTCGTCGGCGGCGGCGGCGGCGTCGTCGCTGTCGTCGTCGCTTTGGCGCGACGCCTCCAGGAGTTCTCCAGGACCTCCGCGGGCGAGGGACCCAGGCTGGCGTGGGGCGTCCTGCGGCGAAAAAACTCGGGGCGGCCAGCGCGGCCGAGTCGGGCCTAGGGAGCACGATACTGTCCTCGTCGGGCCTCCGCAGGTTGCGACGGAGAGCTCTGTCGAGGTCCTCGCCCGCCCCCCTGCAGGGTGCTGGTTGCAAACCGCACCCGTTGCAAACCACACCCTTCGGAGTCGCCGGCCATGGAGGCCTCCTTGGCACACCCGGAGGCCCAAGGAGAAGCCCACAGCGCTCAGAAACCTTGACACTCCCCTGAGATCTTGTCGTTGCATTTTTTTCACAACGGGCGTTTTCGCTGGGTTTCGGGCCCTGGGACCCTCGCAGATCGATCTGGCTCGAAAAATGACGCACTAGGATTGGGTCTGGGGCTCTGGTCGCGATTCTTCGCGATGTTGCGGTTTGCTCGCGGCGTCGGATCTCAGGGCCGGTTCTCCCTCACAGACCCCCCGACGTTGCCTCGCTGTCCGTTGTCGGGATGGCCCTCTTGAAGGGCAGCGGGTTTCCTCATCTCGACTGCTGTGCTCCTCTGGCCTTCTCTTCTGGGTCATCTGCCTTCCCTCGTCCGCCCTTCTCTTGCTGGCCAGCGCCGCCCTCACAGAGCCCCGACGCCGTGCTCCCTCTCACACGGACCCCAAGAGAGGTCTCGACCCCTCCGCCGGGACCGGCGCCTGGCCCCCGAGCCGGGTCTGGCGGGACGGCCCCGAGAGGCCAGGCAGGCGCCCCCGGGGGCCGAACAGGGCCAGACTTCGAAGAAGAAAACACGGCATAAGCATAGGCTGTTTGGCGCTCTGCGCGGACTTCTTGAATCCGCGCTGGGCCCCCCGGCGGCGCCTCCGGCGCCGCACCCAGCGCGCTCCGCGCGCCAGGGAGGGGGTCTGGCGCGGATCCCAGAGATCCTCGCGGCGCCCCAGGAGTTTGTGGTTGGTGCCGCGTTCTCTTCTTCCAAGACTGTGTCCGTCGTGAGTTCCGCCGCGGCGCGGGGGGAGGAGGTCACCACCCACCAAACCACCCCAACCCAACCCGAAGGCTCAGATTTACCCTCGATTTCCAGTGGGGGGGGGCCGGGAAATGTCGAGAAAACACATGTGGAACCCTTACCCCCCCCCAACCCGAAATTCGGGTCTTCGGGTTGGGTTGGGGTGGTCTGGTAGGTAGTCAGGAGGGGAGGCGGGGTTCGCGAGGCACGGCCCGAGCGCCTCCGTGTCGGCGGCCCTGCCGGGGCGGCGCCAGATCCCGCCGCCAGGTGCCGCGGTCGCGCGCCCGCGCGGCGCCAGGGGCGCGGGCGCTCTCGGCCCGGAAGCGGGCGGCCCCCGGTCGTCGGCCTGTGAGGGGCAGGAGCTGCTCGGTGCCCGTGGCGCGAGCGTGGTGGTGCTGCTGCGTGGGCCCTCCCCCGTCTTACCTGAAGTCGGGCCTGTCCCTCTACAGGGGGAATATTCAGAAGTAGTCAAGAAATAGTAATAAGGGGAGGATTGTCTGACTGTGTTTGACCATTTGGGGAATATGTTGTGACTATCTCTTTTTTCGTTCAAAATTCGCCTACAGGGGGACATGCCCGACCTAAGTCTTACCCTCCCCCGCCCCCCCCTGTCTCCTCCTCCTCATCTCTGCCTTCCTCCTTCCTCCGTAATACGCTTCGGCTCGAGGGCGCCCCACCTTCTCCATCCCTTTTCCTTATAAATAATGTCTCTTTCTCGCACCCCGAGGCAAGTTTTTAGGGCGGGCTGGGCGTTTCGATTGAGATTTCTTCACCACTCATGACTCTGAAAAAATTGGAACAGCTTCACAGATGGAGGGCGGCTCGTGTTCAAAATGTGGCTGTCGCATGAGCGCCGCGCACACTCGATTAAAAAAGGCAAGAGCTTCACGGATTGAGGTCAGGTCGTTTTCAAAATGTGGCTCTCGCCTTAGCGCCCCGCACAGTCGTGTTAAACACATTGCAAGAGCTCCACGGATTGAGGCCGGGTCGTTTTCAATATGTGGCTCTCGCCTTAGCGCCGCGCGCATTCGTGTTAAATAATGCAAGAGCTTCACGGATTGAGGCTGGGTGGTTTTCAACATGTGGCTCTCGCTTTAGCGCCGCGCACACTCTTTCAAATAAATTGCAAGAGCTTCACGGATTGAGGGCATGTGGTTTTCAACATATGGTTTTCGCTGTTGCGCCGCGCACATTCGTTTACAACATGCAAGGGCTTCACGGATTGAGGCCAGGTCGTCTTCAAAATGTGGCTCTCGCCTTAGCGCCGCGCGCATTCGTGTTAAAACATTGCAGGAGCTTCACGGATTGAGGCCAGGGCGTTTTCAAAATGAGGCTCTCGCCTTAGCGCCTCGCACATTCGTGTTAAACATTGCAAGAGATTCACGGGGTGAGGGCGGCTCCTTTTCAAAATGTGGTTCTCGCATTCGCGCGGCGCACATTCGCGTTAAGAAATTGCAAGAGCTTCACGGATTGAGGTTGGCTCCTTTTCAAAATGTGGTTCTCGTTTTTGCGCCGCGCACATTCGTTCACCCAGATTTCATGAGTTTCACGGATTTCCCATCATGAACGTACCAGGAAGGATTCAAGATCACGCGGGCGCAACAGTTACGTTGATTCTCCGCGTTGGAGTCCTAAGAACGGCGTTCTGGCACGATTCTGGATCGCCAAGACGCAACAGTCAGGTTGATCCGTCGCGTTGAAAGCCCGAGAACAACGTTTCGGCACGCGTCAGGGTCTTCAAACGGGTGTCTTCCAACGAGGCAGTTTCATCAATGGAAATGAACCGCTGTAGGGGCCTATGAAGGGGGAGCTTGGAGGGAGGGTTTACTCCAACATCTTTGATGACTCTTGGGTTTATACTGGTCCTCCTCCTCCTCCTCCTCCTCCTCGTCATCCTCCTCCTCCCCCTCCTCCTCCCCCTCCCCCTCTCCCTCCCCCTCCCCCTCCCCCCTCCCCCTCCTCCTCCTCGCTCCCAAAAGCTCTTCCTCCGTAGCCTCTTCCTCCCCTCCGCGACCCCTTCCTCCCGAGCATACTCCTCCTCCCCACTCCTCACTCCCACGCCCCTTCTCCGCAACAACCGTTGCGGCTCCAGAGCCCCAGCCTGGCGGCAGCACCGGGCCGGTTGCCAGGGCCCCCGTCCTCTTGCGCTACTGGCCCCGGCGCGGTAAAGGGGGGGCCGAGGCGCATGCGGAGACCCGCCGGGCAGGCCGCCCACGCCTGACGCCGAGAGGCTAGGGGGGGGCGGGGGGGATTAGGCTCAGGGGGGGATAGGCTCGGGGGGATGGGCTCCGGGGGGCACAGGCTCAGAGCAGGGGGGGATGGGCTCGGGGGGATAGGCTCCGGGGGGACGCACCGACCCCTATGGTGGCCCAGTCGTCGCCGACACGGGCAGCCATGCAGCCCGCACAGGAAGGATGAGCGACTTTCCAGGTTACCCCTTGCATCCTTCCCCTCCGGCCCATCCTTGGCCGCTTTCGGTGGCCGCGCCCCGCTCGCAACGTGTCGACATGGCCTTCCAAGGCCCTTGCATCCTTATCGTGCGTCCATCTCATACGGGTTGACTGTAGCCCCCAGCGCTTTGCGGTTTCGCGATCGGGAGCCCATCGCCGATCTATCGGCGATATATCGCCGATTCCGAGTCGATGTTTCCCCCCCGAGCTGGTCTCCCCGATAACGTTCCTCCTCACGAGAGGCCGGAGCCTTCGCACTGCCAGGATGGTCGAGCGCTACGTCTCCTTCACCGACGAGTCCGAGGCCGGAAACGGCGCCCCCAGCGAGTTGGAGGCTGCGTCGTCGCAGGCGCAGTGCATCATCAAGGTGTCCTTGATTGTCGCCTTCGGGTGGTGGGGCTTCGGCCTCTACACCGTCATCAGCACGGGATCCCTGGCGGTGCTGGCGTCGCTCGTGGACGCCACCATCGACTTGGCGGCCCAGGGGGTCCTCCTGGGCGCGAACATGTTTGCGGAGACGGAGGGCGTGGAAGGCATCCCAGGGGCCCGGAAGAGCGCAGAGGCTTCTCGGGCCGAACGAAAGGGGGGGGATAGGGAAAGGGGGGGTTACGAAATTTGCTGCATGCAGCTGGTTTCGGCCCCACCGAGGGGCCCATTCCTCGATACATGGGCGCCTCCCGGCGCCGGGAGGCGCCGGGAAGATCAGCTACGTGAGCTGATTCTCAACCCCCCCCTTTGCTATCCCCCCCTTTCGCCCGACCCGAGCTTCCGGAGGCCCGCGCGCACGTCTTGGGGGGGGTTCGGCGCCAGCCTCGCCTCCCCGCCACCCCTGTGCCCCAGCGCGCGGAGCGCACTTGGGGGCGGCGCCAGAGGCGCCGCTTGGGGGTGGCGGAGGGGAAGGCGGAGGAGGAGGAGGAGGAGGAGGAGGAGGAGGAGGAGGAGGAGCAGGAGGAGGAGGAGGGGAAGGCGGAGGAGGAGGAGGAGGAGGAGGAGGAGGAGGAGGAGGAGGACCAGTGCGAATCCAAGGCTCATCAGCGATGTTGGAACACGCCCTGCCTCCCAGCTCCCTCGTCACAGGCCCCCACAGGGGTTCACTTCCACTGAGTGACGTGCCCCGTTGGGGGAGAGCCGTGCAAAAAAGTTGAAGCACGCCAGAACACCATTCTCAGGACTTCAACGCCACGAATCAACCAGGCTGTTGCGTCTTGACGATCCCGAGTCGTGACAAAACACCGCTCCTGGGACTTCAACACCGTGAATCAACGTACAGTCCTGAATCTTTCCACAACGCCACTTCTGTTGAGTTAACAATGAGAACCAATGCTACTCTTGCAATTTATTGAGCCGAATGTGCGCCGCGCTAAGGCGAGAGCCACATGTTGAAAAGGAACTCTCCTCAGTCAGTGAAGCTCGAGCAAATGTTTCAAAATAATATGCGCAGCGCAAGGGCGAGAGACACAGTTTGAAAACGACCCGCCCTCAATCCGCGAAGCTCTTGCAATTTGTTTGGACGAGTGTGCGCGGCGCTAGGGCGAGAGCCCCATTTTGAAAACGACCTGCCCTCTATTCATAAAACTCTTGCAAATGTTGAAAACGCATGTGCGCGGCGCTGGGGCGAGAGCCACATTTTGGAAGCGGCCCGCCCTCTACCCGTGAAATGTTCGCAAGTTTCTAACCCGAGTCTACTCGGCGCTAAAGCGAGAGCCACATTTTGGAAGCGACCCGCCGTCCATCCATGAAACTGTTCAGCTGTTAAGCTTCAGGCCAATAAATGGCAAGAACTTCTCAGGCGAAACGCCTGGCCCGCCCTTCCAACTGGCTTCGGGGTGCGACAGGAGGAGCTATTCGGAAGGAAAAGGAATGGAGACGGGGGAGGAGAAGAAGGAGGAGGAGGAGGAGGAGGGGGAGGAGGATGAGGAGGAGGAGGACGAGGAGGCGACGGGGGAGGGGGAATGGAGTAGGGTAAGGAGGAGGAGGAGGAGGAGGAGGCGGAGGAGGCGGAGGAGGGGGTGGGCAGAGGGGAGAGGCGCCCGCCCGAGAGGCGCGCTGCCCCCGACGCGAGTTGACAGCGCCGACCCCTCCCCACAGAAAAGAGTCCGCGCGGACCTCCGAGCGTTCATGCGCATGTCGTCTTGTCGGTTCCCCACGACCGACCACATCGCTGGTTGGGCTGGTTTGGGCCGTTGTTTTGCCGTTCGCTTCGTGTGTCGTTGTTGTCTCGTCGGTTCGTTGCTGCTCGCTGGTGCTTTGAAGGCTCCGTTTCGTCGTTCGCTCTCGCTTGTCACGGACTTCGCGTTAAACGTTCGTTTTAAACGTTGGGCCTCGTTTCGTTGTCCGTTGCATACGCCATTTCGTTTTAAACATCGTTGTGATCGATCCTTGCTGCTTCCCCAGGGAGTTTCCCCGTCGGGGTGTCCCGCCTGGAACCCATCGGCGTCATCGTCTGTGCGACGCTGATGGTCCTCGCGTCCGGAGCTGTCATCTACGACTCTGGGCACACGCTGTACACAGCTTATCCCAAAGGTCCCGAGATGGATTTCACCATCTCTGCGGCGGTCATGTTGGCAGTCGTGGTTGTCGTGAAGATCGTCGTGTGGAGAATAGCCAAGGCCGAGTACGACAGAACGAACAATGTGTCGTTGGAGGCACTGGCGCTTGACAATTTCAATGACATCCTCTCCAACGCCTCGGCGCTGGTTTTTGCGAGCCTCACGTGCGTCAAGCAGGAGACTTGGTGGGTGGACCCGGTTGGCGGAATCTTAATTAGTTGCTATATCATCAGATCTTGGGTGCTCACGGCCACAGAGCAGGGAAGTCAGCTCGTCGGAGTGGCGGCCAGCGAGGAATTCCTGTCGTCTGTGAATGAGCTCGCTGGGAACATTAAGAACACAGAGCTGGACCTAATCCGGGCATATCACTTCGGTCCGAAGTGTGTTGTGGAGGTCAAGCTTCTCATGGACAGTGCGACCCCACTACAGGTCAGCCGCGACGTGGAAATAACGCTGCAGGACAAGATCGAGCGGTTAGAGGATTGCGAGCGCTGCTTCGTTCAAATCGACTACGTGCATCGCGACGAGGATGACCACGACACCAACGTTCCCCTGCGTCACAAGACGAAGCCGACGCTCAATGGGCTACCCACCAGCCCCGGCCTGAAGCTCCGGACGGCCCTGTCCTTCGGCGAGTCGGCCAGGAGGGGATCTTGCCCCACGGCGGCGGGCGACCGCAGCCGTGGGTGGACCTGGTCCGGCGACAGGCGCACTTCCAGCGGGGGGGACTTGGATGTTCCCAAAAGCTCGCGCCCAGCGTCGAGCAGCCTGCACTCTTCAATGAAGAGTGCAGGGACCTTATCATCATCCGATTCCTCGTCCTCTTCCCGAACTCACGAACCGCTCTGACACAAAGGAGCTACTCCGAGACGCGCAGCCACCCTTGTGCAGGTGCAGTGTATAAGCTTCGGCTGCCCATGCAAAATTGCACGCCTTGGCCCAGGTGTTCGACGCATCGATGTAAGCGCAATCACATGTCATGTCATTTGGCCATCTTTGCAAATCTGTTCAAGAAGCTTACGCCATTCCGCCGACCCGCAGACGAAGAGATGTGCGGCCTCCGATTCCGTATGTGTCGTTTGCAGCTTCCCGTCGCGCTGTTTGCGTGTAGTTGTTGCTGGTTTGTCCTCCTCTCCCTCCGTTGCTGTTGCGGGGCTTCTTGAGGGCCTCTTGGAGGCCTCGGGGGCGGCCTCTTGGGAGCCTTTTGAGCACGAACGACGGTCCCCAGCGCCACAGGGTTGCTTGGTGCACCTGGTCGCCGAAGACGCTGGCGCAAGCAGCAAAGAGCACGAGCCGACCGGGCACCTGCTCCAGAATGCAGCTCCGTCCCGATCTGAATGGGTGGCGCCTGGGCGTCACAGGGTTGCGTGGTTTGCATGAGCGCGCTGTGCCTCAGGGAGCTTATTGGGGTCCTCGGGTGCATCTGTGGGGTCGTAGGGGGCCATCTTGTGGCGGAGGTCTCCCGGGGGCACTGCGAGTGCTCCCTCTTGGGCCTCTTTTGGGCCCCTCTCGGGCAGGGCCCTCTTGAAGGCCTTTTTTGTTGGGCCGTTCTCGGGGCCTCAGGCTGGCTCGAGAACCCTCTTGGGCCGTCTCTGGGCCCTCTCGGAGATCTTCGGGCCTGGTGTGGAGGGGCCTCGCGGGTCGTTCCAGTCTTTCAGAAGTCCAACAGGGCGAGAACACGAAAATCATTCAAAAACCCAGAGAAGTCAGTGGATTGTGCATCTTGAAGTCCTTTGGGAGGTTCTCTCCCCTCTGGGGGCTTTCCCTAGCGGGCCCAAGGCACACTACGGCCGCGGACACGGCCTCGCGGCGGCGGCAGGAGAAAAGGGCGGAGGCCCTCGCAGAGGCCTGGCGGGAGGTGCCGACAGGCGACAATCTGAACAGACACATGAGTTTCTGCCCCCTGGCACGACGTACCTCAATGGGAGCGCCTCTCCAGCTGCAGGCCAAGCTAGGGGCACCAGAAGGCGTCCCAGCCAACAGCCGCAGAAGAGGACTTGGATAGGATGTGCGATTTCCCTCTGGGCAGCGTGGCAGAAATGAGCGGCAGTGCAGATAGGAGTCGGAGTAGCCGACGCCACGGTGAGAGGCCCAAGTTCGCAAGCTGCCGCCTGCTGGCGCAACGGCCGCAGAATGCCCTGGCAGCACGGAGACCTATGGTTAAGTCGGGCCTGTCCCTCTACAGGAGGAATATTCAAAAATAGGGAAAAATAGTCTGGGGACGATTGTTTAGTTTTATTGTTTATGTTTGAGCACTTTTGGGGGCCTTTTTTATTTGTCGTCCAAAATCCCCCTGTAGGAGGACACGCCCGACCTAAGCCTTTGGACGAACTGGAGAGAAGGATATCCTGGCGCTCCTGATCGGAAAAGCGCGCATAGAGATTCCACACTACCTCTGCGGAGCCGATGCCTGGCCGCCCTGCGCTTGCACGATCTCGTCGGCAAGCCCGCAGCGCACCGTCCAGCAGTGGGTGCCCCCTTTCCGCCGCGAGTGTGTCCCCGCAGCCGCGCCAGGGAAGCAGGCGGCAAGGGAGCGCCGGAGGCTGTCAGCGCTCACAGGGCGAGGCGTCGTCGACCCCGCCACGCAGCAGAACGCGGCTGTGGCATCCCAAGTGCTCAGTCAACGACGCAACCACGCTCGGAGCAGGCTGGCCCGACACGTGGCGCCAAGGGGCTGCTCTGCTGGGATCCAACAAAACATGACTTGCCTAGGGCGTCGTTCTTCTGGCGAGTGCCGCGTGGCTCGAAGTGGCTTCAGCGGTTCAGCAAGCACGTCGGCCCACGCGCGCGCGAGGACTTCCGCGGAGCTGCGCATGCACAAACATGGTTGCGGCAGCCATGGCCGCGTCCCGCGTGCCTGCGAGCGTGCCGCACGAGTCGCTGGAATGTTGATCGGCCAACAGCTCCTCCAGCGACAAAGGTCGCTTTGCGCGGGCCAGGCTGTGGTCTGCGTTTTTGTTCAAGCCCGTGTCGACTTGGAAAGCCTTGTCCGCCCAGGCCCACCCCACGACAGCATGACAGCCACGCTCAACGTACCAAGCCTGGACAGCCGCGCAAAGCGCCTTGATAATGGTCCACGGCTTGTTCTCCAGTCCGGCGAACATCGGGTTGGACGACAGGGTAGGACAAGGAAAGGGGAGGGTTCTACGAAATCTGCTGCATGGATCTGGTTTCCGCCCCGCTTCCGGGCCCGTTCCCAGAGCGACCATCTCGCCAGGGCTGCCACGATCATTTTTGTCCCACGCCCTGTTCCATTCGACAGGAGACAACGTGCGGAGCTTGACCCGGTTGGGGAACTCCTGGTCGCACTAGTCGGCAATGGTTGAATGGATTCTGGCGGCCACCGCGCCGTTCTCCCCGAGGGCAGCGCGGACGTTCGCCTTCCGATGTTCCTTGGATCAGCTGTTTGACGCGCGCCTCCGTGGCAACGCGGAAGGAGCGACAAGTGCCGCGCCGGGCGCGCGCGCGGCAGCAGGAGACCATGCATTGCAGGGGGGTGGGAGGGGCGGGGACCGAGGGACGCCGCGGCCAGGAGCAGGGGGGGGTCGCCAGGGCGTGCCAACGGGACGGGGCGAACCGACGACGCAGACGAGCATGCGCGACCGCACTACGACGACAACTCTCCTGCGGGAAGTGCGACGGGAGCGACGAGGACAGGCGGGCGCTGACGATGCGATAGACATGCTTTCAATGGCGAGCAGCTGAAGTTCTCAGGCATCACTGGACTGCGCCTTCCCAATGAAAAGGAAGTGGGCCGCCTGCACGAAGATCTCCTGGGCGGCGTCCATTTTTCTAGGAGCACATAGGATAGGTCTGCGCGCGACCCCGCGGTCCAAGTACCATGTAGGCGTAGGACGGGGACAGTTGCGGAACCTCAGGGCCGAGACCTAAGGTACAGGGAAACAATTAGTGGACATTGCGCGGCGACTTGTGGCATGAGCGATCGCTAATTTATTCCGAGGCCAGTATCCTGTCTCCACCGACGCAACGGTGACTCTCTGAACCAGGGTGCCCAGAGACGTCCCCCTGGCAGAGCACGACCGCGCCTAACCTTACCTGCCTGAACATATGTAACCGCGCCGTTTGTTCCGACACGCGGCCTTCCGCCTTGGTGAGGGCGCCTCAGCCACCAGGGCAAACGCCGCCTCGGGCGCGGTGGGTTTGCCGTGGGGTTTGCCGCGGTGCCAGCGTCGTCTACTTGGGGTGCGGGGCGCAGGGCTTCCCGTGGGTTTGCCGTGGTGTCGGCGTCGGCGTGGCGACATGTCCCGATCCCTCAGATTGGTATCACCTTATCTCGACGTCGATCTGAAGGACCCCCTCGGTTTCTGAGGGCGCATCCCTAAGATTGACACCGCCTTTGGGCTTGTCAGTCTTAGGGGTAGGGCTAAGCTCGAAGCTGGTTATAGCACTGGGTCTTGCGCCAGGGCGGTGGTCAAGTGGCCCAAGCACCCCCCCACAGTGAAGATCGCCCCAGGAAACACCACTTCGTCGCCGCGGCTGCTTTCCCCTGCTAGTCTGCGCATATACTTATGGCGAGACAAATTTGGCATTGTGGTCACAAGGCGTCCCGATGGGGGTCGGGAGGGCTTTATATCTCGATCTCTCGATATCGGGGGCGGGCCTGGCGGGGACTCGATATTTCGATATCCCGATCTCGATATCGGGGGCAGGTACTCGATATCGGGGGCGGGGACTCGATATCTCGATATTTCGATATCGGGGGCGGGGACTCGATATCTCGATACCTCGATTTCTCGATATCGGGGGCGGGGGATTCGATATCTCGATATCTCGATATTGGGGGCGGGGGCTCGATATCTCGGTATCTCGATATCTCGATATCGGGGGGGGGGCGGGCGTTCGGGGCGGGGCTCGATGTACGGCGCCTCGCCTCCCCCCATCACAGGACCCGAATTTCCTTATGCACGGCCTGCGGGTCCACACGGGCCCGCTCGAGCGGGGTCCGTCCGTTGCGCAGGGCGTGCATAAGGAAATGTTCCTTTTTCTGAGTGTGGGCCAGAGGGGTCCAGGGGGGTCGGGGGGTATGTGAAAGACTAGATTATGAGGATGACGATGAGGACGTTGACGATGATGATGCTGCTGATGGTGGCGATGATGATGGTGATAGTGGTGAGTGAGGGTTGTTCATGAGCGGGTACTGTTTTTGATAATGATGATGATGATGATGATGATGATGATGCTGATGATGCTGATGATCTTGATGTTAATGGTGGTGATGATGATGATGATGGTGATGACGACGATGATGATGATGATGGCCATGTCGACGATGGTGATGCTGGTAATGATGATGAGGATGAGGATGATGAGGAGGATGGTGATGGTAATGCTGATGATGATGCTGATGGTGATGGTGATGGTGATGGTGGTAATTTTGATGATGATGATGATGATGATGATGATGATGATGATGATGATGATGATGATGATGATGATGATGATGATGGTGAGGATAAGGATAAGGGTGAGGAGGATGATGATGATGGTGGTGGTGGTGATGATGATGATGCTGATGATGATGATCATGATGATGATGGTTGTGATGATGACGGTCATGACGTCGGTCCGCCCCGTCGAAGATAAGAGGGAAGAGTGCGAGGAGAGTGGAAGAACAAATCAAGAGAAGGAGGAGAAGGAGGAGGAGGAGGACAACGACGACAAGCGCTCTTGGGAGGGTGGGGCTCGATATCTTGATTTGTATTCGACTGCAGCCCTGTGGATATCAACAGGCTGCGATATGTAGATGTCCAGAGCCCGCCTCCGATATCGAGATATCGAGATATCGAGATATCGAGTCTGACCCCGCCGCCGCCCCCCAGTGCGTATCC